CCCAAAACTCTACATTTTCTGGGTTTCCCTCTTACATTTTGTTTGTTTGTTTGTTCTCTCTCTCTGCTGGTTTCTCCTCTCCCAGTCTTTAAATGTTCAAGTTTCTCAAGGTTCAGTCCTAGACTCTTTCCTCATTTTATTTAAAATTTTTTAAAAGTTTATTTATTTCGAGAGAGACAGAGAGAGTGAGTGGGGAAGGGTCAGAGAGAGAGAGAAAAATCCCAAACAGGCTCCACACTGACAGTGTGGAAGTGGGGCTCGAACTCACGAACTGTGAGATCATGACATAAGTCAAAACCAAGAGTCAGTTACTTAACTAACTGAGACATCCAGGCGCCCCTTTCCTCATTTTATTCTATATGATCTTAGTCACTTCTAATAGACGGTAAGTGCATTCATTCCCCAGGCTGCAAATCCTTTGTATATGCCCATCATTTCTTAATAATTCTTCTTAGTTCCCGATTGTGTAGTAAACTTACAGTCTCTGGCTGGGTTTCTCACAGGTATCCCCAGTTGAACTAGTTATCTTCTCATAAATATGCACCTCTACAAGTTTCTCTTGCTCAGTAAGTGGAGCAGTATATATCTGGTTTCTCAAATCAGAAACAAGAATTACTCTTGCTGTCTCCCTCTCCTTTTCTGACCAGCATAGAATCAGTCACTGAGTCCTGTCAAGTCTACTTCTAAATCTCTCTCAGATCTTATTCTTTTCTTCCATCTCTACTGCCTTCATTCTAGTAAGTACATCATCTTTTGCCTGGACAATTGCAGTGGCCTCCTGAATTTTCTATACACATACTCCTAACGCCACCCAGTTCAGTCTTCACACAACAGCCAGAGTGATTTTATTATGATATATGTCACAGATCATGTAACATAATACAGATCATGTCACTTCATTGCTTAAAGCAGATCAATGGCTGCCTGTTAGTTTTAAGATGAAACTCCCATATCCTTAATATGGCTGCTTTAATACTTCAAAATCTGTAAAAGGACATATTGATTTAAAATTATGTCAAAATTCAGCTAATTTCCTGAGAGATAGGGAGGAGGGAGGCAAAAGAGCTATAAAAGCTAGATATTTACTTTATAATTATTTGCTATGCTATAGAATTATGTTTTATTCATTTTTGTGCTTATCCCATTTTTATAATAAAAGGTTTAATGATATAAACCATGAGTTCATAAAGATATCCCACAAAGGAAAAATAAAAATAGAAATAAGTTAATTAAAAATAATCATCTGATACCGTTGCACCACTGGAAGTAACTAGGGCAGCAAATCCATACTCTACATTTTGGCAATCAAATAAATAAAGATTTGAGCATTTGTCCTGCATTTCCTGTATAAACTATATTTCAAGGTAACCAAATGACCCAAGTTAATTAGGGAAAATCATTGTTTTATAGAGTTTTATAGAGTAATGTCAACTAGTGAATATGTAAGTAATAGAATTAGAAAAATTGCCCTTACATCCCCTAATGAAGTAATTTATTCAAGCAGATACCATCAGTGGATAAAAACTCTGATAAAATGTTGATGGGGAACTTTTTTAATGTCTATTTTTGAGAGAGAGAGAGAGAGAGAGAAGACACAAGCAGGGGAGGGCCAGAGAAAGAGGGAGACATAGAATGTGAAGCAGGCTCCAGTCTCTGAGCTCTCAGCACAGAGACCCATGTGGGGCTCAAACTCATGAGCCTTAAGATCATGACCTGAGCCAAAGTCAGATGCTTAACTGACTGAGCTACCCAGGCACCCCTGATGGGGATTTTTTAAATGAAAGGATTCAGCTATTATCGAGTGAACTCACTGATCAATGTTAGCATCACTAAAAGTGGGACAACCAGACCTTGTGAACCTGTGATGTGATGTGATAGGAAGCACATAGCGTCACCTATGAAAGTGCATCAGAAACAGCTGTGCTAAATCTAACCAAACTTTTAGAGCTAACTTCCATTTATAGGAACAAGTCAGATGACATCACAGGGAGGTGAACAGACAAATGCAAAGTGTGGGACATTCTGTAGGACAAATTATCTTGTTTCTGCACCAGATGAGTGGTGGCATGGGGTAAAGAAGGTGAGAAAGGGGGACTGCTGTAGGTTAGAAGAGATATTGGAGACTAACTACCAAGATAACAATGGATATTGTTTGGATCCTGATTCCAACAAACCAAATGTAAAACATTTTAGAGATAACCAGCAAATTTGAATATGGACTGATCATTAGATAATACCAACAAATTATTATTAATTTTATTAAATGTATTGATGGCAGGGCGCCTGGGTGCCTCCGTTGGTTAAATGTCCAACTGGCTAAGGTCAAGATCTCATGGTTCGTGAATCCCAGCCCTATATCAGGCTCTGTGCTGAGAGCTCAGAACCTGGAGCCTGCTTCAGATTCTGTGTCTCCCTCTCTCTCTGCCCCTCCGTCTCATTCTCTCTCTCTCTCTCTCTCTCTCAAAAATAAATGAACATTAAAAAATAAAAACTAAATGTGTTGATGGCGGTGTGGCTATGTAAGAAAATATCCATAATTTTTAGAGATGCATACAGAAGTATGGTGTATTAAACTAGATAAGGTCTGAGATTTGCTTTAAAATATTTCAGGAAAGAAACAAGGGAAAAAAATGATAGATAAAAATTGTGGCAAAAGTCTTGAAAATTGTTAAACTTTAATTATATGTATATGGAGTTCATTAAACTGTTTTCTCTATTTTTGGGTATGTTTGAAACTTAATAAATTAAGAATTTCTTAATAAAATAAGTACTAAGAAGAGAAAATAGTGGATGATGAAGACAAATTTTATCTACTTCACAATTTATTGTGTACTATCTTGAATAGAAAGTTATAGAAGTTTCAGAAGAAGGGAAAAATCCTTATATTAAGACCTATGGTTTATTATGGAAGCCTTCACTAGGAATGGTGGCTGGTAACCAAATGGGACAGGAGTAGAGTGAGTTCTTTAAACAGTGAACATAATATTAGCAAAGACATAGTATGATGCTGACCTGGTTCCTGTACAAGGGAGAGCAAAAACGTTGTCTTGATTTGGGCAGAGAAATTGTGGGTGATGTGTTCTATGTGGGGAGTGGAGTAGTTAAGCATTTTGAGCTCTAGACTGAAGAAAGAGTTTGGACTTGAGTCCATAAATAATGGGAAGCTGTTATATTCTTATAGAAAAGAGTAAACAGCATTTAAATAAAATTAATATTAATATTAATGTGTTAATTTTTATAAAATTAATTTGGTAGGTAAGTGGAGTAGGGAAAGAGACTGGAGATAATGGCACCAATAAGGAGGTTATTGCAATAATACAAGCAGAAGTTCTCAGACCTTCATAATTACAGTGGGGATGAATAATAGAAAGGGATAATAGAAGAGACCATCCAAAGGAAAAAAGTCCCAGTAGTGACTGGCTGGCCATGAGGCAAAAAGGAGAGAGTAAAAATTAACCCTTAAAGTTTTGAACTTGGCGAACTAAGAGAATGAAATGGTAGTGGTGCTTTCTGCAAAAATAGGTAAGTTGATGGGAGTGCTTGGCAGGCTCAATCAGTGGAACATGCAGCTGTTGGTCTCAGGGTAGTGAGTTCAAGCCCCATGTTGGGTATAGAGCTTACTTAAAAAACAGAAAAAGAAAAAGAAAATAGGGAAGTTGAGAAGGGACACGAGTCTGAGCAGGAAGTGTATGTTTGTGTTGTGTGTGTGGTGGTGGTGGTGGGGTGGTTGTTGAGGGTAGAGCCAATCAGTTGTGTGGTCTTGCAGTTGAATGTTACATAGTTTGAGGTGATAGACGGATTGAGGACCAAAGTCTTGGAGGCCACTGATAATCTAAGAAAGGTCAAGACTTAGAAGGGTGGAGATGCATATTTGAAACCTGATGACAACAGCATTATATGCTGGTGGTATGGTATGAGGATAGAATTCTCCAAGTATAACCCAGAATTTCAAGTTATGCTACTGACTGAGAAACACAGTTCATGTGTATGCCATTATGTTCACCAAGTGAAAAGCCTTTCCTTTTTCTTCTTTATTTTGAAAACTTTTTTTTTTTAATGTTTTATTTATTTCTAGGAGAGAGAGAGACAGCATGAGCAGGGGAGGGTCAGAGAGAGAGGGAGTCACAGACTGAAACAGGCTCCAGGCTCTGAGCTGGCAGTCAGCACAGAGCCCGACGCGGGGCTCGAACCCACGAACTGCGAGATCATGACCTAAGCGAAAGTCGGACGCTTAACCGACTAAGCCACCCAGGCGCCCCTATTTTGAAAACTTTTTATTGAAGGTTATACATACATAAATTCTCAGCAATCATAAATGTACATTTTGATGAATTTTTGCTAACTTAACATTATTGCTAGTGTAACCAACATGCAGATTAAGAAACTGAACATTATCGCTCTCTGAGAAGCCTCCCCCTTGTACCTCTACCCAGTCATTATCTGCCCTCAAAGGTTATACCACTGACATCTAGCACAGTAGAATTGTTTTGCCTGTTTTTCTTTTATAAAAAATTTTAATGTTTATTTTTATTTTTGAGAGAGAGAGAGAGAGAGCAGGGGAAGGGCAGCGAGAGAGGGAGACACAGAATCTGAAGCGGGCTCCAGGCTCTGAGCTGTCAGCAGAGTCTGACATGGGGCTCAAACTCATGAACTGAAATCATGACCTGAGTCAAAGTCAGCTGCTCAACTGACTGAGCCACCCAGATGCCCCTGCCTGTTCTTGAACTTTATGAAAATGGAATAGATTCTTTTTTTAAAATGTTTATTTTTGAGAGACAGAGCTTAAGCAGGGGAGGGGCAGAGAGAGAGGGAGACACAGAATCCAAAGCAGGCTCCGGGCTCTGAACTGTCAGCACAGAGCCCCATGCAGGGCTCGAACTCACAGAACCGTGAGATCATGACCTGAGCCAAAGTCAATTGCTTAACCGATTGAGCCACCCAGGTGTCCTGGAATAGATTCTTTTTATATATGGCTTATTTCAGTTAATACTATGTTTGTGGTGCTTGCTTTGGCAGGACACACACTAAAATTGGAATGATCCAGAGAAGATTAGCATGGCCCTTGCACAAGGATGACACACAAATACTACGTTTGTGAAACTTACTCATACCATTGAATGTAATTGTAAATTGTTCTTTTGTTGTATAGTATCCTATGTATGAATATACCATAATTTATTTATCTATTTCCTAATTTTAATGGATATTTGCATTATTTCCAGTTTTTGGCTAATACAAATGGCACTACTATAAGCATTCCTATACATGTGTTTGGGTGAATATATTTACAGATGTATGCTATATATATATTTCTGCTGCTATGTACCTAGGAGTGGAATTGTGGGATAATAGGGCATATGTATGTTCAGCTTTAATGGAAAAACAGCAAAATTTCCCAGAGTAGTTGTAGCAATGTACACTCCCATTAGTAGTGTAGGAGAGTTCTGTTTTTCATCCCCCTTCATTGTAGCCATCCAGGAGAGTTTATAGTAATAATATCTATCACATTGTGGCTTTAATTTGCTAACTAATGAAGTTGATACTTTTTTCATGTGTTTTTTGTCCATTTAAGTATTCTCTTCGGTGAAATGCCTGTTCAAGGCTCTTTCATATTTTCTCATGAATTTCCTGTCTTTATCTTAGTGTTTGGTTGGAGTACATTATATGCTATGAATAAGAGTCCTTTGTTGGATTTGAAGATTACAAAAAAAAATTTCCCACTCTGCAGCTTGCCTTTTTACTCTCCTAATGATGTAATGATGTCATTTGATAAACAGAAGTTCTTAATTTTAATGTAGTTCAGTTTATCATTTTTTCTTCATTGTTAACATTTTAAGAAAAATGTTTATTTAGTTTTGAGAGAGAGAAAGAGTGTATGTGGGAGGAACAGAGAGAGATGGGGACAGAAGATCTGAGGTGGGTTCTGTGCTGTCAGCAGAGAACCTGATGTGGGGCTCCAACCCATGAACCATGAGAACATGACCTGAGCTGAAGTCGGAAGTTCAACTGACTGGGCCACCCAAGCACCCCATTGGTAACATTTTTCAAAAGATTTTAGTTTTAAGTAATCTCTACATCCAGCGTGGGGCTTGAATCTACAACCCTGATATCTAGAGATACATGCTTTACTACTGAGCTAGTCAGGTGCTCTTATTGTTAGTACTTTTTGAGTTACATTTAAGAAATCTTTGCCAGGGCACCTAGGTGGCTCAGTCGCTTGGGCCTCCGACTCTTGATTTCGGCTCAGATCATGATCTCATGGTTTGTGAATTTGAGCCCCAGACCCGCTCTACGCTGGCAGCAGGAAGCCTGTTTGGGATTCTCTGTCTCCCTCTCTCTCTCTGCTCCTTCACTCCCCCCCCACCAAGAAGTTCCACAATACATATGAGAACTGATATTTTTGTGAGTGTTTGATGTGATTTAGAGGTCAGATTTGTTCTTTCCCCATATGGATATCCATTTGGCTCAGCACTATTTATTTATGAGACCATCCTTCCCCACTGGACTCCAGTGACAGTTTTGTCGTGAATCAAGGTACCGTATGTATATTTGGGCACCCTCCTCTTAGTAGCTCATGCATATTTCAACTTCATTATTTTCTAAGTTATCATCTTTTTTTAACCCAAGTAATTAACTCATATAGGATGATCAGCCCTATATTTTTCAAACACTTATTCATTTGTTTCTTCTTGTTGGAAATGCATATTGATTGCCTGCTAAGTTGCATATATTGGGCCAGGCATAGTGTAGGATAAATAAATGTTTATTTGGGTAAGAGTTAATTGGATATAATGCATTCTGATACATCCCAGGAAAGAGGCATGACATGATCCTGTGTAAGGAGATATATATTACCTATAACCTCTACGTCTTTGGGGGCATGGTGTGGTATAGAGAATGGAGGAAGACTTCCTGGAAGAGGCAATTCTTGGGATTGTCTTGAAAAAAAATAGAAGTAGCAGATACAAATAGAGAAGAGAGTGCACATGCAAATACACAGACAATCGGGTTAGTTTCAGAAACTGGAAGTGGTTTGTTACGGTTTATTACATAAAGTGTAAGGAAAAAGGGATTGGGAGGCTGGAGGATTAAGCAAAGAATTGATTATAAAAGGACCTTATTCCAAACTCAATGAGAGCCATTAAAGGAAAGAGGTTTAATAAACTTTGCATTTCAGAAAGACCCTTCTGACTGTTGTGTACAGAAAGAATGGATAGAACAGAGTAGGGGATAGGGGAACATAATGCAAGAAGACTGGCTAGAAGAGTACCGATTAGTGTATGGTAAGACTGACTTAAGGAAGTGGAAAGAAGTAGACATATTTGGGAAATATATAGAAGATTGAGTGTAGAAGAGCTGGCGATGTCTAGGAATGAGGAGCTGTGAGCAGTGAAGGATGTGGCAATTGGCTTGAGTCAGGCAGATCTGGGTTCAATTCTCCTTTCTGTCACAAGGTAGATCAGGTTAGAAAGACTGTTCTGGTTTTGAAGAGCAGATTGCAAGAGTCTGAGGCTGAAGGCAAGGAGACTAGTTAAGAGGCTATTACGGTCATCTAAGCTTTATGATAGGGGCCTGATTAAGGCTAAAGCTCTGGGGACAGAAGGGAAGAGATGGACTGAATGGAGAGAAATGGCTTGAGAAATAATTAGGAGGTTGATTTACCAGATTTGAGAATAGACTTAATACATTAAAAACAGTAAAGGACTTCAAGAGAAAGAAGTGTCAGAAAAAGAAAGAAAAGGGACTGGCAAACAGAGGAAGAAAAGCAGAAGACATTAATGTTACAGAAACAAAGGAAGGGCAGTATCAAGTAGAGAGCTGAATATATCAAATACCACAGAGGGGCACTTAATAACGATGGGAATGTACATTGGATTTAGCAACAAGGAAATAAGTAACGGTAAGGATTAAGACTTTAAACATTTTTCCTGGACCAGAGAAGTTCAAGGTCTAATGATTGAAACTGTTATTACAATACATTGTATCTAGTGCTGTGTGAGAGAGGACAGTGCAGGAGCTGCAGACACAAAGAACTGTCACATTTCCCAGCTTCATCCCAGTATAGTGTTCACTGTCTCACACCATACTACAGCCTCTATGTCCTTTATGAAATGATCATGCTGTCCGATTCACATTGCTTTCTTTCCTCATGCAAGTTTGAGTTTAAAAGGATAAATTCAAGCAAATAGGTTTCTCCTAAATTCTCTAACAAAAACACATCTCAAGATCTAAATTTATTTTTATTATTTTAAGATTTGATTTATTTTATTTTTGTATTATTTTTAAAATTTATTTTGTTTTTTAATTTTTACTTTAAGTATGTTCCATGCCCACCTTGGGGCTTGAACTCACAACCCTGAGATCAAGAGTCCCATGCTCTGTTGACAGAACCAGCCAGGCACCCCTTTAAGATTTTATTTTTAAGTAATCTCTACACCCAACGTGGGGCTCGAACTTACAAACCCAAGATCAAGAGTTGCATGCTCTACTGACTGAGCCAGCCTGGCACTGCTCAAACTCTAAATTTAAATGAGGCGATGGACATGATTATGCTGACATGGTGAATTTATATTTATTTACTTTAGGGTTCAGTACTGATCAATGTGTTGAGTGATTTGACTCTCACTATGTATGGGTTTTAAAGACTACCTGCTACAGTGAGAAAGAATGAAATCTGGCCATGTGTAGCAACATGGATGGAACTTGAGGGTGTTATGCTGAGCGAAATAAGTCAGGCAGAGAAGGACAGCTACCATATATTTGCACGAATAGGAGGATTAGGAGGAACTTAACGGAGGACCGTGGAGGAGAAGAAGGGAAAACATACTTGGGGAGAGGGAGGGAGGCAAACCTTGAAAGACTGTTGAATGCTGAGAACAAACTGAGGGTTGATGGGGGTGGGGAGGAGGGTAAGGGGGGTAATGGGCACGGAGGAGCGCACTAGTGGGGATGAGCACTGGGTGTTATATGGAAACCAACTTGACAATAAACTATTAAAAAATTAAAAAAAAAAAAAGACTACCTGCTACATTCACCTTGGCTAAATTCCATCGTTAACATTTTAGGTAAGAATGTACCCACGCCTGAATTCAGAATTTTATTTAAAGCTTAACATTATCTTTTTCAAGCTCTGGTCAACACAATGCAATATTACTAAATAATAGGTTTTTCTGGATAACAGTTGGAAGAATTATCAGTAGTGATTCTGGTAACTGGGTTTCATCTATTTTGGGAAGGACTTTTGTTGTATAGTAGAGAGAAATATTAATGAATTTCGATTCCAGAAGTAAGACTTGAGAAATAATGCAAAGGCCTCTACTCTGTAATATTAAAAAAATTTCTTGTATTATAATACAGTGCTTTGAGGTCACTCATTGACGTTCAGGTTCTTAGTGAACCACTCTTTTGAACAATATATTTATGTCCTGACATACACATTTTAATTTGTAATTTGGTCTGACTCTAAGCCTCCTATTGAAATCTAACCTTTGGGAAAAGGGGACAAAACTTGAGGAGGCTCAAAGGCATCCTGAGAAGAGAAAGAAAAGAAGAAAGTGGAGAGGCAGTAGATAATCTCTGTTTTCCACAAAACACAATTTATAATTTGGTTGCATTTCATTAACCCAAATTACACATGCTCACAAGAATGCACACTGAGGGCTTCACTTCCATCCTCCCCCTCCTTCCCCTTAAAGCATATGGAAATTAGGTGGCAGCCTGGGAAGGTTGCCATGGTGCCCAGGCTACAGCGATTTGCTAAGTAGTCAAAGACACTCCAGAGTCCCTTCCCCCAACCACCACTTCTCTTCTTTCTTTCAAATCCTTGTCTTAACTAATTTCATATTATAGATAAATCAGGGTGGTGTTGGTTTACTAGAGAACAACAGAATAGATGTCTTGATGTAAGAAGTAAAATACTGAGAAATTATAACTGGCCCATTTTTATGTAGCACTAGCCACACAAAAAGTCAGAATTCACTTTTAAAATGTCTTATACAACATTTTCCCATATTCAGGACTTATATTTCTTATTTGGCTTTATCCTTTTGGATGACCTGTGGGTATCTCAAGCTCAACATATCTAAATGGAATTAGTTACTCTTCTCCATTACCCTCTTGAGTGTTCTATAATCTTAATTATTCTATATCCTTAATATTAGCACATTGACATCTTTCTAGTACCAAACTAGATTAAAATAATAATAACCTTATATAATATTTACTATATGCCAGGCACTATTCTTAGCACTTTATGTATATCAACTCTTTCAAGTTAATCCCAACTGATCACTAAATTCTGTCCATTATATTTCAAGTTGTCTTAATAGATATTTGCAAAATGAAAAAATTACTATTTTTCTAAAGCTTGACCAATTTTTAAACGTTTATTTACTTTTGAGAGAGAGACAGAGAGACAGACAGAGCATGAGCAGGGGAGGGGCAGAGAGAGAGGGAGACATAGAATGTGAAGCAGGCGGGGCGCCTGGGTGGCTTAGTCAGCTAAGCGTCCGACTTTCGCTTAGGTCATGATCTCGCGGTTCGTGGGTTCGAGCCCCGCGTCGGGCTCTGTGCTGACTGACAGCTCAGAGCCTGGAGCCTGTTTCAGAGTCTGTGACTCCTTCTCTCTCTGACCCTCTCCTGCTCACACTGTCTCTCTCTCTCCTAGAAATAAATAAAACATTAAAAAAAATAAAAAAATAAAAAAAAAAAAGAATGTGAAGCAGGCTCCAGGCTCTGAGCTGTCAGCAAGAGCCCAGCACAGGGCTTGAACTCACAAACTGTGAGATCATGACCTAAGCCGAAGTTGGATGCTTAACTGACTGAGCCACCCAAATGCCCCTAAAGCTTGACCAATTTTATTAGCCAGAGGGGCTAGTTCTAGGGCAAGATGTGGCAGAATATTTAGGACTTGGTCTTTGAAGCTTCTTCTTTAAGCATTAAACATATAAATCCAAGAGTCAAAATAGTAGAGGATAACCCTTTGTAACATATTAGAATCATCCTCTTTTCCAGTATTTCCTAAATGTGCTAAAGTAACTAAGGTGCTAGTTAAAACAGAGAATCTGACTTAGTAGATCTAATTCAGTAAATAGTATTCTCTTAGGCTTAATATTTACCATTTTGAAACTAAAGAGTTGTAATGGTTTGGGGTGGTATGATTCAGTTATTTCTGAATTCTGATAACCACTGAATAAGTTTGCAGAGAATTACTGTCCAGACTGTTGTAATCTTAAAAGACACAACTCTCAAATGACACCCAGCCTAGAGAGGTGTTTTGGGAAACATTTCTCAGTCTTCATTTAGATTTACAAATCAATTATGCATGTGCTAAGAAGAGGAAAGGCTGTGTTTTTCTTCATCTCTGCAGCCTAAGAGATCATTTAGGAAACAATTCTTCATTCTGCTGAAACATTGATTATGCATGTGTAGAAAAGAAAGGATTAGAAAACGCTGTGGTTTTATTTTCTTTGTCTTCTTATAAGAAAAGCTATCTGTTTTTCTAGTATACTGATTATAAGACTTATAGAGGTTTCCTCAAGATAGTATGGTCTGAAATAAGTTCCCTTCATGGTAAACTTCTATGGTAAACATGGTATATTTTAATAAGCTCACTATTATTTTTTTAATGATTTCAGTATTTTTAGATATGTGAGAGAGACTTCGCTCTCACCCCTCATGTTACTAAGCAACATGTCATACAGTTGCTAGGAAACAGACTAGCAAGCTTGGGGCACTTCAGTTCCCTTATCACCTTGCATAACACATGACTATACCCTAGAGAGTTTTACAGCCTTAAGAGAAAAGAGAAAAAAGTATAATGACATATAGAAAGGATAGAAAAAGTGACGGGTGGAGGAATGGAATAAAGAAAAGAGCAAGATATTTGAGAAGAGTGTGTGAGGTTGGCAGAGGAAGGGCTATTATGCAATTTCCTTGAATGAGTCATGGAAAAACCTTAAATTTCCAGTGCTCTATTTCATATTCTGTATGTTTCTAACTTTTCTAAAAACAAGTTAGAGACTGTACTTGGGCAAGAAGATCTTTCAGAGAGTATTTCTGAGTATTAACAGAAGGGTAGAAACTAATTGTAACTTTGTAGAGAAGATTGCCAATTCCAAACACATTAAACAAGTCACACCTTATTTAAAATTCCAAATCAGATATACAATATTATTTCATTCCATTTATCTCTCAAAATAGTAAAAATGGACGGTACTATAGAGAGGTTAGATAGAATATTAGTGCTCTTGAACAAATTTAGAAGCAAGATTGTCATACAGGCTCCTGGGCAATATGTTTCTGTGCAAAATTTTAAAAATCTAATATAAAATGGGGAAAGAAGAAGCTGTTGTGCTCTACCTGGAAGACTCTGTTGTGTCTGAAATAGGAAACCAGGCTCCAGGCTTCATTGTGTACATGTGAAAGGTTGAGTCTTTGTGTCTCTGTGGCATTTACTGTTGCTGGCAACCAGGAAGCTCCGTAGCAATTGTTGCTAGGTCCTCAGTGCCTCTGTTTGCCTGAAACCTTAATCAGTGCCAGAAACACCAGAGATAAAAATCATTGCACAAAATCCAGTGCCAGTTATCCCCAGTGGTCCTGCTGCAAACAGTCTGTCTTGTGTTCAGTGAAAATCAGTGTAAAATGGAGACTTGACACAAAGAGTTCCATCCTCAGCGTCCTCTCCATGAATGCCTGTCCTTCAGCGCAGGGCGTTGAGAGGACACTGGAGAATGGCTTAATTAAAATAAAGCTTATATCTGGTGTCACCAGCTTTAACTAAATGCATAATAAAGAGCCTAAGAGAAGAACACAGACAAGAAAGATTTCATCAGATTTAGATGACTTCCGGTTCTGAGGTTGCGTTCACGTTTGTTGACAGCTTGAGATCACCTTGGTGACAACAGAAGTCCTGGTGCAAATGATGGTACCATTTCAAATAGGAATCCAGAGATTCTGATAAGATCCCCAGAAATAACCTGCATCGTCTCTTGAAATGAAATACTGGTTTTTAGGTAAGCCTCAGAGACTAGTACAACCCATTTACTCAAGCCATCCTGTACAAATATGGACCTCAGATTTTGCTTCCTGTGTATCTCCCACCCAGATGTAGACAGTTATAGCTCTGAACTTACCTGGAAACAATTGCAAATCTGGGCTGAGATTTAGTAAACATTGATGCTGAGATGACACAAATATCACAAATATCTACTTCCATCAGGCATCTAGCCTCCAAAAGTGAGTCTGAAGAGATATTTATTGTTGTGATTATTACCAATTTTTGAGCACCTTATCAAGGCTAAATACTATACTGTCTAGTTTAATCCTCAAAATAATTCTTAGGGGTAGGTACAATTATAATCACTTTTCCCCCCTCTGTTGTGAAAATTGAGGTTCAGAGAAATTAAATAATATGCCCAAGGTTTCTCACAGCTGATACAAGACAAAATGAAAATTCAAACCTCGACCTGTCTATCTCTGACATTTGACTTTGAGCCACTACCTTATGTATTCTGTTTAATACAGAATGCTTTTTATATGGGAATAAATTGTGTAGTACATCACACCTGTGCCAAGGTGAAAACTATAGATTCTGGGGTCTCACTGTTCCCTAATGGCGTAGTTGAGACTCAGAATGTCTGCCCCCTCTGGGGTTGACTTTGCCATAAAGGCCCTGCCAGGATAATCCTCCAGAACCCCGTGATGCCTCATCCTCACATTTCCCCATATCCAGGTTATTCAAAATATAATAACACTCCCTGAGGTCTTTAGGTGAGTGGTTCAGATTGGGCTCTGCAATCCCAGCCCAGTCAGACTGGTAGCCCTTTTTCAATGTGAGGCAAAGACTTGCCCATAAAGCCTTTCTACATTCATCTGATCTCTCCTTCTCTTTTGCTTATCTAATAAGAACAGGAGATCATTTTTAGGGACTATGTGATCTGAATTCTAATTTAGAAAAGAATGCCTTTTCAAAAGAACAGTCTGGGGCGCCTGGCTGGCTCAGTGGGTTAAGCGGCCAACTCTTGATTTCGGTCCAGGTCATGATCTCACAGTTTGTGAGTTTGAGCCCTGTGTCAGGCTCTGTGCTGACAACACGAAGCCTTCTTGGGATTCTCTCTCTCTCTCTCTCTCTCTCTCTCTCTGCCCCTTCCCTGCTTGCACACTCTCTTTCTCTCTCTCTCAAAATAAATAAACTTCAAAAAAGAAGAGTCTGGAGAACTGTCACATTTTACATTACCCAGACCTTTGTTCAGGTCCTTGCAGTAACATTGCCTCAAAATCTTCATTTTAGAATAAAATCTTTCCTTTTCCTTTGCATACCCCAAAAGTCCACTGAATTGGTTTTTTCAGAACAAAGGAATATTTGATAATTAAAAATGTTTTCATTCTTATATACGCACTGGGCAGAAAACATGAAATAGTCACATGCAGATGGTGTGCTGGGGCCTGCTTCTTAGGGCTCATGCAAACAGGATGTAGGTACCTCTTTGGAACTCTGTATTCAGTGACATCACACTGGTAGCTTAAAATTGGTCATGATGGGAACATTTACACCATGGAAATTGGCCAGTGCTACAAATCTGGGCTTTTTTTGCCTCTTTATCTTAGAGCTAGTTGTTGAACCACCAGGAGAGGCGCTCTCAAAGAGCAGTACATCAGCAGTGTAACTTCAGTGAAGCACAGCCCATCCTTGTGTCACTAGGCATCATGTTGCCGGATTCTCATACAGTATAAGTGAAGGAAGTCATCTGCTTAGTGATGTGTATGTATTAATACAAGTTTTATTAAATGAGGGCCCTCAAACACAAGACTTCGTAGAAATTGTGTTCACAGGCATGAACAGGACAGTGTGAGCCACTGAGCCAAATGAGAACATTTGGGTATGTTTGCGAGTGTCTAAGAGAGACATACAAAGATGGTTGCAGGGACAGCATAGTTTTCTCAGAACAGCATCTATAAGGGGCTTTTGGATTCTGAGGCGATCACCCAAAGAGTCTTTATTGAACTCTATAGATGATAGGCCTAGTCTCTATGTGTGAGAAGCCTTACGACCTGGCTTGGAATGGTAATTGTTAGAAAAATGGGATTTAAAAACATGACTTCTATTGCCAAATGATTTGAGAATATTGATAACAATAGCTAACATTTCTTGATTTACTGCTATGTGCCAGGCTCTGTTCTAGGCATTTTACTTGTATGGACTCATTTATTCCTCATTATAACTCTCAGAGGTAGGTGCTATAATTATCCCCATTTTATAGATGATAAAATTGCACAAAATGTTTAAGTAAATTGCTGAAGGTCACCAAGTAAGCAACAGAGCCAGAGTTCAAACCCAGGAAGTCTAAAGGCCTTTGTAGGCCTTCTGGTATACTTCTTCATGCTAAATATAGATCAATCTTAACATTTAGGTTATTTCTAATAATTTTTTTTTAATTTTTTTTTTAAATGTTTTATTTATTTCTAGGAGAGAGAGAGAGAGACAGCGTGAGCAGGGGAGGGTCAGAGAGAGAGGGAGTCACAGACTGAAACAGGCTCCAGGCTCTGAGCTGGCAGTCAGCACAGAGCCCGACGCGGGGCTCGAACCCACGAACCGCGAGATCATGACCTAAGCGAAAGTCGGACGCTTAACCGACTAAGCCACCCAGGTGCCCCAATTTCTAATAATTTTCTTAACAGAACATTTACAATACCACTAGTTGGTATTTTTCCGGACTTTGGCCATTGACGCATTGTAAATACTACATTTTGTGTTCATATTATATACCCTAAATAATACTCTTACTATGTATAATATTTTCTGATGTCTTCTATCCTGTCCTATTTCCTTTTTTTAATGCATCCCTATCTGAAAATCAGTGATTAGTTCTCATCCACATTAACTATCTGTAGATTTTTGAAAGTGGTGACAGGTACATAGGTAATCAATGTATAGAACTTGTTTGGTGAATCTTCATCCTCGTTAGGTTTTCTGGACAACTGCACACATACACAGTATGGAACATTCATTATTTCTTTGGCCCAGACACCTTGTTTGAGCCTGGTGTCAATGTGCATATCTGGAGTTTCCATCTCCTTCATGGTGGATTTCTAGATATCTTTCAGTGCCCACGGTGCATGCTTCTTGAAACCCACTCCATGGATACACTTGTGAATGTCAATGGTGTATTCTCTGGTCACTACCTCCTTGATGGCAGAATAGCCCTTCTTCTTGCTACCCTTATTTGCGGGAGCATTTCTGCTGGACTCTGGTTGGAAAGGAAGAGCACAAGGTACTGTGGGAGAGAGAAAACAGCATTGCAGATATGACTGCTGGATCACCTTCTATTCTATTTCACTTTTTAAATACTGGTCACAAGTCACTAAATTGGTTTTTTGATATACTAATGAGTGGTAAACCTGCTGTTTGAAATTCACTGTACTAGATTTTTGTATATGTGGCCTTGTGCTATGGTTGGGTTTACTACTGGTATCCTATTTTAGAGCAACTTCACCGTATTCTATTTCCTTTCCAATTAACCTATGGTCTAGTGGCAAAGTCACTTGAAGATGAACATATGATTTAAAAAGATGCAAGAGGTAATGGAAGTCTGAGCTAGGCTGATGGCAATGAAAATGGAAAGGAAGAATCTAACGTGAGAGTTTTAGAGGAAGGTTTCCAGGATTTGACAGGACATGAGTGACTAGTGTCCCTCCCCAGATGAGACAATCACTAATGTTTTAAGTGTCCAGGATGGGCAGAGAGGTGAGATGTAAGGCATGGAGCCATGGGACTATAGCCAGATGCAATGGTCTATCAAGTTTTCAGGCTAGTGGTGCTACGGTTACCACATTCTAAAACTGAATTGCTAAATCCAAATGACCGAAGCAAGAAGAGAAGGTAAAACATGAAGCAAGCAAGTTAGAGACCCAGGAGAGTTCCTGCCTACAGAAGTAATGATCTGAGTAATGCATCTTGAGGAAAAATCGAGCAAATGATTCCTGACTATGGATCTGAGTGTTCCCTGAGAGTTTAAGTAAAGGAGAAGGTGGCAGACATAAGCATGTGCTGGGTGCTATTGGGGACTCAAAGATTAATATATGGCTTCACTTCTTCAGGAGCTGAAAATTGAATACAGCATCGTGTGAAGGAACATCACTAAAGAAAAGCTTTTATTTATTTATTTACCACCCCGCACAGCTAGCAATGATGATATTTATAGACTACTGTATAGTTTACAGAGAGCTCTCACATCTGTTATCTCATTTATTTATTCCTCATTTAAACCATGTGAGACAGATACTGTTTTCATTTTATACATATAACAAGAGAAAAACTTAGATCTTGAGCTCAAGTATATCTACATTTATGTATTTTTTTAAGTTTATTTATAGAAGTAATCTCTACACCCAGCATGGGTCTTGAACCCATGGGTCATGACCCCAAGACCAAGAGTCGCATGTTCTTCTGACTGAGCTAGCTAGGCACCCCCTGAGTATATCTACATTTAGGTTTCATTCTCTTTCCACCATTTCAGAACTCTTTATCATCAATAAATTGTCATCATTAAATAAATTTTACTTGAGGGGTGCCAGGGTGGCTCAGTCAGTTAAGTGTCTGACTTTGGCTCAGGTCATAATCTCGCAGTTCGTGGGCTCGAGCCCTGCATTGGGCTCTGTGCTGACAGCTCAGAGCCTGGAGCCTGCTTCGGACTCTATGTCTCCCTCTCTGTCTGCCCCTCCCCTGCTCACACTCTGCCTCTCTGTGTCTCTCAAAAATGAATAAACGTTAAAAAAATTTTTTTAATTTACTTGATAAACTTTCTTACTGTAGAAGGTGTTCTGGGGAAAGAGCATAAAAACAAGATTCAACAGTTAAAAACAAATATCTGAAATCCTATCACACCCCCAGGATGGCTATAATAAAAACATAGATAATAATAAGTGTTAGTGAGGATGTGGAGAAATTAAAGGCCTCATACACTGCTGATGGGACTGTAAAATGGTGCAGCCCCTTTGGAAAACAGTTTGGCCATTCCTCAAAATGTTAAACACAGTTAGCATATGACTCAGCAATTCCATGCCTAGTTATAGATCCAAGAAACGAAAACATATGCCCACAGAGAAACTGGTAGACAAATGTTCAGAACAGCATTATCCATAAAAGCCAAAAAGTGAAAACAACCCAAATGTTCATCAACTGATGAATGAACAAATGAATTACAGTATATCCTTAAAAAGGAGTATTATTCAACAATAGAAAGGAATGATACATATGTTACAATAGAGATTAACTTTTTTTAGTCTGTCAACACAGATTTATTTATTCAACAAGTATCTTTTTTTTTTTAAGTTTATTGATTTATTTTGAGAGAGAGCATGCATGCAAGTGGGGGAGAGGTGGAGAGGTAGGGAGGGAGAGAGAATCCCAAGCAGGCTCCAACCTATCAGCACACAAAGCCCTACTCGGGGCTCAATCCCATGAACTGTGAGATCATGACCCGAGCCAAAATCAAGAATCAGATGCCCAACCAACTGAGCCACCCCGGTTCCACACATTACCCTCCTCTCTCAAACCTTATTATTATTATTATTTATTATTATAATATAGCATTTACAGCTACCTGAAGGTTATCTATCTATCTACATGTAGTTTGTGATTCCACTAGAATATAGGTTTTTTGTTTTTTATATTAAGTTTTTAATTTTAATTCCATTATAGTTAATATACAGTGTTACATTAGTTTCAGGTGTGGAATATAGTGATTCAGCAGTTCTAGGCATTACTCAGTGTTCATTGTGATAAGCATACTCTTAATCTCCATCACCTATTTCATCCATCCCATTATCCACCTCCTCTCTGGTAATCACATTTGTTCTCTATAGTTAAGAGTCTGGGGGCGCCTGGGTGCTTTAGTCGGTTAAGCATCCGACTTTCACTTAGGTCATGATCTCGCGGTTCGTGGATTCGAGCCCGGCGTCGGGCTCTGTGCTGACTGCCAGCTCAGAGCCTGGAGCCTATTTCGGAGTTTGTGTCTCCCTCTCTCTCTGGCCCTCCCCTGCTCACGCTGTCTCTCTCTCTCCTAGAAATAAATAAAAATATTTAAAAAAAAAAAAAAAAGAGTCTGCTTCTTGGTTTGTCTCCGTAGATGAACTTTGAAGACATGTTGCTAAGTGAAAGAAGCTAGACATAAAAGGTCACATATTGTATGGTTTCATTTATGTAAAATGTCCAGAAGAGACAGACTCATAGAGACATAAAGTAAATAAGTGGTTGCCTGGGGCTGGTGGGGAGAGGGTATGTGGGAAGAAGTTGGAGAAAATGGAGAGTGACTGCTAATGTATACAGGATTTCTTAGTGGGGTGATTAAAGTTCTCTGAAATTGATTAGGGTGATGGTTGCACAACTCTGTGAATATACTTGCAGCCATTACATTGTGCATTTTAACTGGGGAATCGAATGATACATTACTTACATTTAAA